AAAAAGCTTCTGCAGAGCAAAGGAAACAACCAAGAGAGTGAGGAGACAACCCACAAAATGGGAAAAAAATTTTGTCAGACACTTCATGGACAGATGACTGCTATCTAGAATACAGAAAGAACTCAAAAGTAAGATTCCCCCAGAATAAAAGACACTACCAAAGAAATGGGCAACTGAAATAAAGAGACATTTCTCAAAAGAAGAAATACAAATGGCCAATAAGTATATGAAAAAATGTTCAGCATCTTTGGCCATAGAGAAATGCAAATCAAAACAACACTGACTCCATCTTACTCTAGAAAGATTGGCCATCATCAAGAAATCAAAAACAACAAATGCTGGTGAGAATGTGGCAAAAAAGGAACCCTTCTACATTGTTCATGGGAATGCAAACTACTACAACCATTATGGAAAAAAGCATAGAGAGTTCTCAAAAAACTAAAAATAGAAATCCTATTCAATCTAGGTGTTCCCCTTCTGGGTATTTTCCAGTAGACATCATATTAAAGTGATACGTGTATACTCATGACTATAGCAGCACAACTCATAATAGCTGAATCTTAGAAGTGGCCTATATACCAATCAACAGATGAATGGAAAAGAAAATATGCTGTATATATAGACACAACGGAGTACTATTCAGCCATGAAAAGGATACATTTGAGACATTTGTAGGGAAATGGATGTACCTTAAGGCCATAATGCTAACTGAAATACATCAGACACAAAACATTAAATATCAAGTGGTTTCTCTTATATGAGAAAACCAAAGTATAAGTAAAGAGAAAAATAAAAGAGAGATCATAGGAAATAGGGAGGTAGATCTTTTGCAGATGGGAATGGGATTTTACAGATGAAGGGAGAGGGGGCAAGGAGAGCAGGAGGGGAAGTAAAAAGGATTAAGATGTGATAAGTACAGGTACCAACTCCCCATGATTCATGTATTCATTATGTTTTGCAAACACATACTGTACGAAGAGAGAGCGAGAGAGAAAATTCTTTATGAAACTAGACATCTCAGTCAGCCAAATTCAACCACCAAAAAACAAAACAAAACAAAACAAATTCAACCACCAAAAGCTTTCCTGATATCAGAGGGGGGCTGGGCTCAGGGTGTTTTCACTTTATAATGAATGGCCTGGTGTCTTGGTAAGAACTATAAGAACTGGCAGCAAGGGAGAGAGAAAAGCGGACTCACCACCATAGATGCAACCTAAGAAGAAGTGTTTCATCTCATCTCTGTCTCATCTCAATCTCATTCTGTTATATACAATTCCCCTCATCTCCTCATATGGTAAAATAAAGTTGGGCCTAGAAATGTGCTCAGAAAAAAATTTCCTGTCATTTGTGTCCCCATTTTCTCTAGCACCTTTATGCAGTCACAGCAATCAAGGTGTCTGGGAGCTCCAGAATGTTTCACCTCAAGGTTTTCATAGAATTATCTCTGTGTACAGACACCATATTCTCATTGCCGAATTTTCTTTACAAGGGGTTTACTATAAAGGTTTATCCACACATTTAAGTCAGAATTTTAAAATTAAAAATCAGTCATACAAGGAAGTTATATATTCAAGATAGAAGATACAAAGGGTCCTATTATATCCTGGGTATAAATAATATTCTATAGTGATATAAAATCTTCAAATATCACTTAGTTATGAGTAACTAGGTTAGAACAGAGCTGTGTGGAAAAGCATATAATTCAATAATTTAACTACAAGGTCATAGATGAAGGACAAATTAATGAAAACTATTTCAGATGTCTTTTATGCCAAGGACTATGGCCAGTAGCGCCATTGGCAAGAGCTCACTGGGCTAGTTGACTAGCAACAAGGTAGGTCACTGGACAGTCCTGTATGTGACTTTGTAAGTGAAAATAGGGTAGTGAGTAGGTGTGAGTCTGCTTCCTGGAATTAAATATGGTAGGTGCACCTCAGTTCTTTTTATTCAGTTCATTTAGAGACAATTTCAGGAGAAGGCAAGTAACACAAAGATAATGAAGTCTTGTGAGCCACGTATGTGGCTTTTCATGAAAGTCAGAGGTATCACAAATTCCTGTAGATCTTGGTCTTATTCCAGTCTTGGCAGAATTTGAATGACTCCATCATCCAGAAATAGTCTTCAGTGAAGAAGGGTGAATTAAATGTTGGTATAGAGAAAAAGATGACAAAGAAGGAAACAGATTTGTCAGAAAAGAGTTCTGAAAGCCTACCATAACCTGAGATTGTTCCTTTATTGCCATAATGATATGTCTTCATCAGGATTACTGAAAAAGTTTATGAGGCTAGCTACCCTTAGAGATTTTAAAGAGACCTCAGCATTCCTGGTGACAATAATTGTTTATTAAGCCAAGCAGAAATAGTTCTGTCTAAAAGTCTGATGTTAATGGCAGGGCAATGATGTTGTTGGTGCTTATTTACCAAATGTCCATAGTGTCTACAAAGTTGTCCTCAGGGCTGTTGCATATCGATGTGTCTATGTGCATGCAACTCCTTAGGGCTGTGAAGTGCAGACCCTGTGAAACTGTATATAACTGTTCCAACTGTCTAAAAAATTGGAGAAAATAGAAACAGAAGTAAGTCCTATGTCTAGGCAGTAATATGATTGCATTAGAAAGCCAAGCATAGGCATTTCATATTTCTAGAAGAAAATGTGTTCTTTTTAGACTGAGAAATTTAATAGCTAGGGAGTATATACAGTAGCTTTGAGCTGAGATTTCTGCCTCAGGCCACATGTTCCATTCACTGATGACCCCAAATAGCTATCCTTCCAAGCACTAATGAATTGAGGATGTCATATACTCAAATGGCATTATCACAATTGTGCGCGGTACTAGAAGCTGTCTGCATGGTTGCTGAAAAAATAATTGTTCACAGACTCATAGACCTCCACTATAAGAGACAATGTTAGTCTAAGCTGAAAAACAGGACAATAATCAGATCTGGAAAGTGAAGGCAAGGCCAGGGGTGGGGGTAGGGTACAGCCAGGGAACAGACTCAGCATCACCAGTCATTCTGGAAAAGATGTGATCAGAAAAGGGGGGAGTGGACAGAAAGACATGCTATGCTCATGGACTTAGTACAGCACTGAGGCAGACCATGAAAATTTCCCATGATAAATGAAGCATTTTTATCTCTAAAGGCAAAAATATTATTCAAATACCAGTGTCCTAAACCATTACCATCTTGAATAGGCTTTCATACTGAATTTTAATCTAAACAAGAACATAAATGTCAAAAAGCTTTCTTAGCTTTTCTCTTAGGACAAAGTTGGGGAAAATAAGAAAAGCATCAACCAGTATGTATATTATTCTCATTTCCCAGTCAAATTTAATCCCCAAACTTCTGCTTATCTATAGACCATCCTTTTCTTCATATCAGAAATAATTTATCTGACAGTATAAGTTCAGTATACGTGGCTGTACTTTTTAAAAGAAATTCTGATGTAGAAAAGAAAAATGCTAATGACATTAGCAAGCATACAATGCAGCATCTTCCATGTGTAAGGACATGTTTCCTGCCACATGCAAATTTAGCTGTTTTCTTCTACTGCCCTATTAAACAAATGTACATGTTAACAGTAAATTCAAAGCATCATATTTCTTTCCAACAACTCAGTCTCCTCTCCTGTCCCATCAAATAAATCAATGTTATTAAAAGTAAAATGCAAATATTTAAAAATTCAATGAGCCCAGCACGTCTAAAGGACTCCTGAGTTTTACAGACTTAAAAAGAAGCTGGACAGTCTGAAGTCTTACTTGCCTCAAACAATTCAGATGTTTTTCCTCCGGTTACCTATGGTCAAAATTGGATTCCCATCCACTTACCATCTGGCATTGAGGTCCAACTGCTATTAGCAGTAAAGTGGATCTGAAGACTATGATTTATCCCATGTGCACAATGAATTTGAAAAATTAAAAAGATGCAAGCTTTGAGACAAGGTCACTCTCTGCCCTAACACAGTTTTGTTCAGTTTTTTGCTTGTTATCAATCTCCAAACTTCCCCCAGTCACCAAAGCCAACCAGGATCCTTTTTAGACATTTTTCCCTGTGACATCCTATTACAGATATGCTGTGTATCTGTTTATGTAACATATGTGTATCTGTGTTTTACATATCAAAAACTTCACCCCCCATGAACCGATTTTCCCCTGTGGGGGGACAATATCATGCCTGTTGTAAAACAAGAGTTACAGAAACTCAAGCGCACATTTAATTGTCTGTTCACAGCCAGAAATTCCTAAATCAATAATGATTTAGCACCACTTCAGTTAAAACAATTACATCTGAATCACTTTCAAAATAAAAAGCTTTAAAAATACATAATCTATGAAATACATAAAAATGGGTGAAATATTGTTCTAGCAGTCAGTAACATCCCAGCTTGCATTACTCTCAATTTGTTGAGCTCTACTTGATGCCTGCTCACAGAATCAAAGATTTAATTACTGCGTTTGATTACTATTGAATTTTGTGCACATTTCAAAAAGTGAAAAACCAAAACAACCTCTGAGAAAAACATTTTTCTGGATGGTAGCAATTGGTAATTTGCAAAATCAGATAGAAAACATCTGTAGAGAGCACTATAATTTTCAATTTACAGACAAAATAGACTAGCTTTTGCTGCTCAAAAACAACCTGAAAATAAATGGCCCACAAAATTATGTGTGTCATAAAAACACATCAGTGCTTCATTAGAAAACCACTGTGCCATCCGCATATACAATTGGGAGAAGTTTCTCCAACTAAAAAGATTCAAGAATGCGCATGTTCTATCGCGCCTCCAAAACAAAAAAACTTCAGCATTTTCAAATATTCATGACAAGAATTTCATTAAGCTTAAGAAACAGAACAGTCAGTAACAAATGCAAGACATATCCTGTCGACTATTAAGAGTGCTATGCATTTTTATATTGCTTCACAAATAGTGAGGGCAAAGAAAGTCTTCTGTATAAACCATTAAAAAGAATCCTCATCACATTAGAAATTGAGCTCACCTACCTTCACTGGTCCATGTTCATTACCGAAGCCCTGCACCAGGTGCACATAAGACATCATGAAAATATTCACTACTGCCCACTGTCTGTTCATTTTGAATATTTTAATATCTGCTGATTACTAAGGAGTTGACATCAGGCAGCTAGAGAGAATTGTCTCAAAAGGCATTCTCCTGGGGGAAAGTTCGAACCCCAAAACTTCACATGGAAAAAAAAATCAGTTGTGATCAAAATCCAATGAAATGACTTCAATTAGGCAAGGTACTTTTTCGCACAATCTTAGTGGGGGAGAGAGATGAAAACAATTTAAAATGTTCTCATGCTCCAAAAATAATCAGGAGGTGGACATGTCTTCCACCTGAACTTAGAAAGCACGCTACATTCATTTCACGTCCAGCAAATTAAAAGAAATCTCTCCACCCTGTGCCCCAGGGTCTAGTTGCTTTGTAAGGAACTAGTGCGGCCACCAGTACTTGCAGCTACAGAAAGCTGGAACCCAGCTCTGGATTAAAACATTTTTAACAACCTTCATGGAAGTTTGCAGAAGCATGTGTCTTAAATCTGACCCAGATTTTGGCAGAAAATGCAGGGAAGTCTTGGCTGTAATCCTGTTGTGTCACTACCAATAGCAGGGCAGTTTTAAAAACTGACTCAAATGCTCACGGCTGCTGTTATTTTAAAGCAGATAACCTGTAACATGAAACCCCAGCACGTAGTCTTAATGGTTGTATCCCAATAGCACTGCTCAGGAAAGGACCTTCAGATGCTGACATATCTGCTGCCGGTGACACCGAAAGTAATCAGATGTGCTTCAAAAATAGTAAAAACATCAACACACATGCGAAAAAGACAAACACAAGATGAGTTTTTAAATAGAAGCTTAATAAGTTAGGTTAAAATGAAGAACATGGAGTTTTAAAGAAGCAACGATTAGGTTTATTTGCATGTACCAGGAAATATCCTACATACATTGCCACAAAAATCTTGTTATCACTTTAATGAGGAATCCTTTAGAAATACCAGCTAACTCAGCTTTGGAGACTGAAAATCTAAATGGCTGGGCACCAAGAATGGCAAAAGAATGGAGACCTCTCTTGTGCTCTTCACTAGTTTCCAATCTTTGATTTCCAGGTTTTGGCCCTTTCAAACCCATTTTTCGCATTTCTGAAATCAAGAATGGCCTGAGAAATTTCTTCATTGGTGTTCATCACAAATGGACCTAGAGCAGAAAGAGACATTCAGAAAGTTCTGGGTGATGGTATTTTACCATTAGAAATGGTAAAATATTTCTTTAGCTTCTAATTTAAAATAAAATCTAGGTATATCTGAACAGTAAAAGTGTTCAGATCCAAGAGTTCAGTGTTTAATTCTAGAGGAAAATAATACAACTTTCTTGGCTATGATTGTACATGATTATAAATTATTATAAGGATCAAACTTTAGATAAACAAATGTAACTACGTCTCACCCATCCATTACAGGTCCCTTACCAGCAATGGGAATCTATTTAAAACATTCTTAGATTTGGTTCTATCACAACCGTATTTCAGCCATATTACAGCCATATCATATTACAACCAGTTGATATTTTTATACCATTAGCTGATGTCGAGAATCGAATCAATCTGAATATGATGAATTGGTAAATTTCATCATAGATTTGTTATCTAAGCAATATATTAGGCTATGTGCTTATATGATGGTTCTAAGCCATTTTTTAAAATTAGCAGCATCTTATTGATGATAAATAGGAGATTGCAAACAATTCAAGTCAAGAAAGCATCATTATTTGGATTCCCTAGAGATGGGAAAGCTCTTCCTGTAAAGGGCCAGAGACTATATATTTTAGATTTTGTGGATCACATGGTGTCCATCTCAACTATTCAAGTCTCATTAAACTGCAAACGCATCTATAGACAATATGGCAGTGACTAGCTGTGATTGTTCCAGTAAAACTCCATGCACAAAAACATGCAGTGCACAGATTTGGCCCATGGCTTATAGTTTGCTGATCCTTTTGTCTAATTCCTGGATCTGAACTCGAGTGTTCTTAAAAGTATGCAAGAAGTTCTCCTCTACTTGACCAGAAGAGGCAAAGTATCTGTTGCTTCCCCTTTCTCACACATTGGAGGGGCAAAGAGACACAGGACTCTATGAAGGCCAACTCTTATTTGGCATCGGCAGTGTCTTGGAAGCAGCTGATAAGCTTGTCTATTCAGTATACTTCTACCAGCAGGCAAGGGTTCCCAGAATTCTTTTTATGGAACTCCTTCCACTAAGGGGCTTTGTCTGGGAGGCTCTAATTTACACTTAACTATATTACTTAGAGGGAACAACACATTCAAACTTCTTAACCATTGTTGGCATGTCAATATCACTATATTTAAAATCTGAGAAAAAAAGACACCAGATAATATGCCTTGTTGATGTTGAAGCCTTTTGGGAAACAGAATGTCAGTAGGAAAGGAAAATTCCATGGAAGGAATCTAAATTGACTTTTTCATTCAGTTATCTATTTATTAAGTATTTATTAAATGCTCATTAAATGACAGACATTGTGCCAAGAGCTACAGACTTACAGATGAAAGATGAATGACAGACTCTGCCCCCAGAAGACCACAAATATATCACATGGACAGATATGGAAACAAATCATTACAAAAGAATGTGGTACATGGAACAATAAAAGTATGTAAATCCTACAGAGTCGGCAAAAAAGGGGAAGAGGAGGAGTCCAGGAATGGATTCACAGAAGGCATGACATTCAAACAACTATACAAGGAAGAATGGCGTATTTTCAGGACTAGCATGCTGGATGAATTGGGGCTAAAGTCATAGGGTTGGAAGAAAGGACTAAAGGGGGGAAAAATGGAATCTGAGATGTAGAAGAAGCCAGGCACTTTTAGGCTTTAGGTGCCATCTATGAGAAGAAGTTTGGACATAATTATTTAAGTGATCAGGAGTCAATGAAGGGTTAAGTGGAGAGTAACATGATCTGATTTGGGGTTTTAAAGGAGACTTTGGCCTGAAGATAGAGAAGGTGTCTGGCCTAGGAGACTGAGTGAATGGTGGAGCTGCACAGGATGACACACAGGATGTAGGCGGCTGGGTGTAGAATAAAGAGTTCCATTGTGGATATTATGATATAGAGGTGTCAGAGGCAATTTAATAGCTTCTCAGCAGAGGCCTGAAGTACATCGTTGAGACTATGGATCATGGGAGAGATTCCATGTGGACATCGAGCTTTGGAGTTTATCAGGTAGGAAACAATGAGAGAGCTCTTGCACACAAAATAAACAATACACTCAGGACAGCACCGTGGAGAAGCCAACTTTTTAAAGGACATATGAAGCAAAGGAAATGGAACTGGGAAAGTGACACCAGGTACAGGGCCAAGGACTGATTTCCTGCACGTTGGAATTTCCCTCTACTTTACACCTGTAGAGCACCACTCTTATGCCCCCATCTTTTTTCTGTAGTGCACTTCTGGAAATCCATCTAAATGGTTTCGTAGGGTAGTGTGCCATGTTTCTCAATTTTTAATGTGCACATACATTACCTAGGAAACACTGAAAGCTTGGAGTCCTCCAAAGCCGTGTTGAGTAAGTTCATCTCCTTATATACTCAGGAAGAGGAAAACTGAACCCAGAAAACATGTGGTTTTAAATTTATCATCTATAAGGTTTACAAACAAGAAAATTATTCATACTCCCTAAGTCCTCTTTCAAACTACAGTTTGCAATTCTCCTCTAATTAAACCTTTGGACTCCTCTTGTAATAAAAAAGGTATGGATTCTTATGTAGATTCTTGGCATACAGTAGAAAGCACAAGACATGGGATCGGGAGACCAGGGTTCATATCCTAGGTCCACCACTAATAATCATGTCCCATCAGAAAAGCCACAGTGACAAGCAGAGTGACTGGCATGATGAGAGACAGAAGGGCAGGGCAGTTGAAAACCAGACAGTCTGAGTGTACATCCACTCTGTGGCTGTCATGGCTTGTGTCTAGATGTCCCCCAAATCCTCATGCAGTCATAGGTGGGGGATTTCAGAGGTAGCTGGATCTAGAGTGTGTGACACTGGAATTGATTCATGGTGCAAGGCTAGGCTCAAGGGCACTAGGGTTAAGGGTGCGAGTGCTACCTGCCCTAAGGAGCCTGGATAAGACATAAGGGATAGAAAGAGCTGTGGTCGCCCCTTGTTGCTTTGCCACCTTCTGGCCACCATGAACTGTTTCTCCTCTGTGATGCTACCCTGCCTTGGAGCCAGCCAATTATGGATTGAAACCTCTACAAATTGTGAGCTAAATAACTTTTTCTTCCCTGAACTGCAGGAGTCAAAAGTATTTTGTCTCAGAAGAGAAAAAAGGAACTAAGGCAGTAGCCTTGAGTTGAGCAATGAACCTCTGTACTTCTGCGGCTTCATTTGTAGCGTGAGGATGAGAGCGCCTCTCTGTTTAAGGTTGTTTTGAAGATTAAGTGAATTAAAATTTGGATAGCACTCTGACGACTGAAAATACAACAGACTATACGGACAGCATTTGCTACGGTTGGAATGCGGCTTGTCCCCTCTACAACTCCTGCTGAAATTTGATTGCCACTGTGCTGGAAGGTAGGATCTTTATGCAATGATTAGGTCCTAAAGAGCGGTTAATGCTTTTCGCCTGTGAATGAGTTCTCATTCTTGTGGGGCTGGATTAGTTATCATGCGAGTGAGTCACGTACACAGCAAGTCCACCTCTAGTGTTTTCCTCTCCTACACACACCTGCCCGCCCTTCTATTTTCTGGCATGAGATAAGCAGCATGGAGGCCTTTCTGGTGTAATGTTCTTGAACTTCCCAGTCTCCGGAACTGTGAGCCCAAACAAATCCCTTTTCTTCATAAATTACCTAGTCTCATGTATTCTCTTACAGCAACAAAATGATGACAGTATTAAACTGCTGTTATTTTTGGTAAAGATAAAAATGATATTCAAGCACTTGTATCTGTTTTTGTGTAACTTGTGCACAAAGAGTTATGGACAGGTGCAAAAAACAAATCCTCTTTTGCAACCCAGAACTCACTGTTCAGTATGGGTTTTGATACATAAGAAGGAATACTACTGCCAGGCACAGTGGCACAAGCCCATAATCCAGGGACTCCTGAGGCTGAGGCAAGAGCAATGGAGTCTGGACTACATAGTGACACTCTACCTAAAAAATAATGGTGACCTAAAACAGATTAAAGTGAAGGAAGGTGTTGATAACCATTAAGTTTGGTTGCAGGACTAAAGAGTTAATTAGAAAGAATAGGGTATGAGCAAAATCTCAGCTCAGTACATTTGGGATTCCAATTTTCATGTTGTGAGACATGAAGGTACCCTTTTTTCATCTTTCTTAAAGGCTTCTGTCTTGAACATGGGACTGGAGTTGAAGATATGTCTTACTGTGTTTGGATCATGTTTGTTTAAATGTAGCAAGTAGTAACATCAGATTAAAATTTCTACAGGTTTAAAAAAATGATATTCAAGTCCCCAACAGAATGCAAAATCTTTTTTCAGGTTGAAGTCTCTTGTGACACAATAAAAATACCATTTTATTCTTTGCACAGTTTTAAGATCAATGTCTGACACATGATATGTACTTAAATGTTTGTTTTGTCAAAGAAAGAGATGCATCTAGGAACAAACACCACTTGGGTTTTCTTCTGACAATGGACAAATAAAACAAAATCCTTAGATTTGCTGATGAAGAGAT